TTTCAGATACTCCAGTTTATTACAGATTTAAAATAAAACATAATATCAAAAAAGTAGATTGCAAAGTTTTTACATCATGGAATGCCAATAGTTACAAAAATTGAAATCATACCATTGAAAATACATGAAAGCTCATGGGAAAAATATGGGGAGATAGGGAGAAAAATTGTGGCAGATAGGGAAGGAGGACAGAAAAAATATTAAGTCAGTTTAAAAGAAGAGATAAATGACCCAACCTTTTTTTTTAATAGAAAATTTAATATCATTCTTTGATTCAAACAAGCCTGTCTAGAAACATATTCATAACGAAGTTAACTCCAGATTTTGAACCTCTAAATAACGAGATCCCTTGCCCCAGTTAACTTGCATTAAGATAGCCTGTGTCCTACAAGTCATTCCCAAATACCCCTTGACTTAGAGTGTTCATCATGCGCAAGTTGATAGATTGTTTGCTACAGTTACTAGAACAACAGTTTACAATTCTTAAGTTACAAAAATAGTTATCAGTCATTAGTATTTCTATACATCTCAAGCTATTATATGCACACTCTGTACAGTGGATGTTAACAGTGGTAAAGTTTGCTTCCTTAAACAAAACAAAGAATTGAATCACTGACAGTCAGACCCAAAATAGTCAGGCACCATAATATACTTACATGTCTGGCACTAAATAGCCCTGCCCATACAAAGCAAAAGCAGTTTCAGTACCGAAAGGACAAATGCATCCAGGTTGTAAGACCTTTATGATGGTTGGCGGAAGAGGACAGCATTAAGGATCTGTATGTTCCTGCCACCGAACACTCTCGCACTATGCTGCAGGGCCTGACACCAATTTTAACTGCACAGATTCCGTGCAGACAACTGTTCCTGTCCAACAGGCCTGCCTACAGACTGAAGAGCAGGTTTATATGACAAAAGCTGTCAGGCAGCAAAACAAACTACCCCTGTGGCAATGACCAGAATTCCCCAGCTAAAGGTAGAATACGAAGGTGACCTCTGAAGTAGACAAACACTGGATGTTTTTGACATGCCCAAATTATTGATTTCAACATGTTTTGATTGGGTTTTCTTCTTCCTCCCACTCTCCCGAAGCCAAAAAAACCAATCTAGATTTTCTTGGCATGACCAGGGCCAACACTGACAAATGTTTTCCTGGTTGCAGAAGCCCATTATTGAAGTACATTGGTTGCACTTACACTACTTCTCCCTCCCTTTCAGAAGTAATAAATAGTAAGCCTGGAAGCACTGCTATGGTTGTGGCATTCTGTCAGACAGGCAAGTAAAAAAAAAAAAAAAAACACAAAACAATTCTCAGAGGTATTACTGCTAGTCTTACTCAGTATCTCTTAACTCTCAAAGTCCAGTCCAACTGATGTTAAGCTTCATGTAGCGGCCCAGCTCTGAAGAGTTGGGAACATACAGATGTCCCATGACAGATCTGGGGGGGCCGGAAAAAAAGCAAAATCACAACTAATCACCCCATCACCACTGGGAGGGGGGGAGGCAGGAAGAGAAGAGAGGGGAAAAAAAAGGAAGCCTTAAATGCTGAATAAGAAATAACACTTTTTCTTTTAACACTTCCTTAACTAACCTAGAAATCTTTTGCATACTTCTCCAAGGACTATCCTTCCCATCATGAGGGCTCAGCACTTCAGTCAGACAGTTAAAGACCTTAACAGTTCAATCCAAGCACTTTGAGATTCAGTGCTCAAACAGTTAGCTTTATACACCACACACTAGAAAACCCAGAGTCATGTTTGCAATGTACTACTATGAAAAAATTTATTCATTTGCAGAACTTCAAGGACAATTTGGAGCAAAGTCAACCAAGGCATGTACTTAAGTCTGTCAACATAAGGCTGAGAAATATAAACACCACAATGTTAATACCAAGGTCACGCACACATCAGAAGCGCATGAAGAACTTCAAAGCGATCCCACACAGGAACAAGATAGTTACGCATGTCTTCACAAAAGATTAAGAATTAAGCAACTGTCCCCTAAATATCAACATGAGTAAACAAATTACGAATGAGCTTCTACAGGCTTTTCCCCACACTAGGAACTCAAGAGCAAGTGTCAGGTACTACATCTTCTAGTAACAGTGCTTTGCTTTAAATCTCTCCAAATGTATATTTGATGCTTAGATCTTTGAGTTTGTTTGGTGGCTTTATTCATTCACTTATTTTTAAAGCACCTTATTTAAAGTGTAAAATAATTTTGTTCTCCGGGTCAGAATGGCCAAATATCCAACATTTTTATGCATTTAAGTCTTCCATATTAACCTTAAGTTATAATTTTGAAATTTTACAGTTATTCTATATAGAATACATTAAGTTTTGTTTTTCAGTTGTGTCATTATGGTGCAACATCTGGACCACTGTTTTACGAGATAACTAACAGAGCTTCCAGTTTAAAGTACAACAGGTTTTGGTACAGGAATTGCTACAAAGAATTAAAGTGAAAACAATTATACTAGAAATAAATCCCTTGAAACACCACACCACAATGCCAGTATATATGTATTTGATAGTATTTGAAGATTATGGGGAAGTTACAAGTGAAATATGAATCACTTCAGAAGAATTCCTTCACAAACTATCTTACATATAGGAGAACAAACCAGAAAAAAAATTCGATTCTCCAAGCTGACCTTCTGGAGAGAATTTGTACTTATTGATTTCCAGTGAAATGAAAGGCTTGTCTTTTATTTTAAAATCTGGACAAAAAATAAATGTGAAATAATTACAGTTCTGTCACTTGGATCTATTCTCATAGCCTGTTTACAAAGTTATACAAGTTAATACTGACTTCCCTTGCTCCCTTAGCATGCTTCCAAGCTCAGCCACAGAAACCAAGTCTCAGTTAAGTATTCAAGCAGATGCTTACCTGCTTATCTGCAAGATGTTGTATCAAAATTAGTAGTTAAATTCAAATACTTGCCTTGTTTGGTTAGTAATATGCTGACAGTTTTGTAAGGACATACTAGCACATTTGGAACCTTAAGCCTTTGATTCTCCTGTGACTTAATTTGAGGATTCATCAACAGGATCTTCACCCCACCCTTTATTTTTTAAGATGAGAACTTTTCGTCATTCAGTAAGTCTACTAGAAATTGATGGTCTTAAAGTTTACATCCATGAGATATCCCAGATGGCAGCCATTAAGAGCTGTATCTTACCCCTTCCGCCACGTACATAGAAAGACTAATTCTCCTCACAATTCCTTAAATTAGTCAATACCAAGCATTTCATGCAATGTAAGATCCACAGATATAAGTATGTACTTCGCTCAGCATGTCTGCCAAACTTTCAAAGGCCAGGTTTGAGTCTCAACGCTGCATAACAGCATAGCCTCCCCAGCCACGCTTGTTCAAGTGGCATTTGATACTGCCGCCAAATAATTCTATCTTGTGCCATTCCAGTTATTTTAAAGTGCCTTTCATCCTTTGAAGAAAAAGGTGTTTTAAATTGATACAATTATCTGCCTAGAGCTATTTTCATCTTTTTCTTCCAACACAAACAACAAACCCCAAGCAAACAAAACCAACACTCTAGGTGTAAATACACAGGCCTAGAAGAAAAAACCTGTATCCCTTGCCGGCTGACTTCAAATCTAACATGATTTAAACCTGAATTCTCTCCCTACTCCCAAACATAAACACATCTTTCTACAACAGATAACAGAGTTTACCTCTGCTTCAAGCCAGCTCTTCACCATTCTGGTCTTTAGTTATCACCTGTACCTTTTCAGACAAGCTTCTGCATGCATTTTGTCAGCCACAGGACTGAGCCTTATCTATACTCCAGGAACATTAGAGCCAATTGTGAACTAGTTTCCCTCACGACTAAGTTGTAATAAAGAATGTTTACTTTTAAGTGCCCAGATACAAGAATAATTTTCAGAATGTAACTACAGTAAGTCACCAGAATTAACTATTCCAGTTCCAGAAGTTCTCCAAAGCCAAAAGCTGGCATCTTTATCTTATCAACAATTATATGAAACCGACAGTTTGGATTCCAAAATTCTTCATGGACATTCAGAGTAAGTGCTCATAGCAATCCAAACAGAGGAGGATTTTTTTTGTATGGTTACTTAATTTCTTTTAAGTCAGTCTTATATCAATGATATTCTTTCCCTCGACCACCCAATTAGGTCCACCTAAGAAATGCCTATAAAGAGTAATACAGACACATACCTTCACTGAAGAACTGGAGCATAAGAGATTGTTACTTGCAAGAAGTTACTCAGCAGCCTTTTTCCATAGTATTTATTGCTAATTCATTTTATATAGCTTATTTCCAGGAGATGGATAGAATAAAAACCACATCTATTTTAAAAAGTACATTATTCATTACAATGCAACAGTCTTAATAGTACCTTCTTACAGCTGCTTCTTACCTAATCCAGAAATAAACCAATCCTGATCTAGTTAATTAAAAAGTTTCGTACCTAACCCTCAGGACAGTCAACCTTCAGCAGTCAAGCAACTTTGGACCCAAAACTTACAATCACCATGTTTGGTAATAACCCCAGAAATTCTCACTGTGCAAATTATTCTCCTGAAATTATTTAATAGCTTTGTTATAAGTCAGTCTCATTATTACATCAGCATTTATTCTTATAGCAAGAATTGCTTTATTCTTCCTTACCTAACTTTGATGTGAACTCTGAGTGCTCTGGAGATTCAGGTTACTACTGCATTGCTTACTGAGCCTGCGCACTAAACATACACACCTCAACATAATAACACAAGTAGCTTAGATACACAGCATATTAAAACAATAAAAATAATGAGAATTTACATCAAGCTGCCCAAACCCATGCTCAAACAGTTTCCCACCTAGTTCCAACTGCACAATCTTGATTTTTTGTTTGCTAACAAAGTAAAATGGCACTGTCAAAGTCTTTACTCCATCTTCTACAGTCTTGAATTTTACCTTTGTCAGTAATGATTCTGGGGGTTGTTTTATGTACTGTTTTTAAACCCAACTTTAAATCTAACAACATACGTTCTCCTTATAACTTCCCAGAGGTAGCAGGAGGGAATATGAAAAGAATGCCAGATTTTAGAAGTTACACATTCAAGTACAGTGTCATCCAAGTGAGCTTTCCTAGCTTTCACAGACTGCATGTCACCTATAATCATGTATAGCAAAGAAGTAGAATCCCAAAATAAAGAACCATTGCCACTGGATTACTAAGAGAAGTTTCACACCCAGATACCTCAAAGCAATCTTGTTACTTAAGTAGTAATACTGCCAGTTTCAATAGTCAAATATCAAGCAATAAAGTATAAACTTAAAATTTATCAGTATCAATTTTTCTAAAATGCTCATTAGTGACACATTTCACCTAAACACAGACATACACAGTTACTCGAAGCTGATGTACCACACTGTAAGGAAAGGTCCCACTTCAGTCCAAGAATCTGATATTCCCCCTCTCCCTCCCACCACACAACCTGACAGAAGTGCTTACAGTAATAGAAAGCAAACAGAAGGGGAAAACACAACATTTAACAAGTGCATCTATGTACATTTTGCACCTTTTCCCTCCTTGCATCTAAAGTGAACAGGTCACCATGTTCGCTATGCTTTACATGCACATACCCTCCCCTTCATGTAGTACCAGTCCTTCCCAAAGGATCTCTGCAAGCATCAACAGCAGTCATTCCACACCAACCAACAGGTGCTTTTATTGTGGAGGCTGAAGTACATTTAAATATTCTGACTGGCCGAGCTGGTAGGTTGTGTTTCCTCCACAGTCCACATACTGGTATCTCTCCTGGGATATTTGCTCAGAGTGGCCAAAGTAAGAGGTTGTCACTGTCACTCTTAAAAAGACAAAACAAGAGAGATTTTTTTTTTTTTTGCAAGAGGCTTGAGTTTCCTATTCTAAAGATCAGTGTTTTTACATTTTCAGAGTTTTTAAGGAAGAAGTTTTGAAACAAAGTAAGTTTTAAATAAAGTTAAAAACAATACTAGTTTACCACTATATATTTTCTCCATGAAAGGCATTTGGTTCCCCAAGCACAGACTTTTTTCCTAAAGAAGATGGTAAAGCTGAGGTTTACTCACTAATATCTTGCTTTGCGAGGAGAAAGCAAATGATTAGAGAAGCTGCAGCCATGGTTGGTCTACACCTCCCACCCTTTCCCCTTCCCAAAAACAACCCAGACCCCACCATGCTGCTATTTATGCAGTTAGTCACGAAAAACAGACTCTGTCAGAGTAATAAAACCTGTAAGTGCTTCAAGATCATGAAGATCTTGGCAATTTTTGAACAGCGGCTGATACACAAACTCATTTCAAAGTATTTGAGACCTCTGTAGCTCTGTGGCAACAGCTCAACTGCAGAGCAGATACAGTACTAACAGTTCTGTCTTTACACCACCAGAACCTGTCAAAAAAACAGAGTTCAGTTTCAAGAACTATGGAGCTGCTACACTAGACAGCAAGCAGATTTCATTTTATCTATGATGCACAGACTCCAGGATTAGTACTTCTGAGTAATATTTCAACGAGAATTATATGGCTTTTAAAATTGTTTCCGACAAATAAGAAGTTTCCATACTTACTGCATCATCACTACTATGTTATGCACTTTGATAGATGCTAAAGTGCAGAAGTCACTGCAAAACAAAAAAACAATTATTAGATTTGCATGGAGTTTTTACAGGTAATTATTTAAAAAGCAATAATTGTGGCTTCAATTGGAAATTCTGCTGTTTCTGTACACAGACACGATAGGGTTGCCAGCAACAGCAACTAAAACACTTGTTGAAAAACACTGCCAGTGACCATATACTCACCCAGGTCTACTTTTATATAGTCTTGCTTCCACATGAACTCTATGAACATGTGCTTGCCAAGTGCAATACTTGCCAACAAAGGTGTCCTGTGAAACAGTGCTCACTCCATCTTTCAGAAGCTAACCAACCTTAACCTGAACCACTACATTAAAGCATGTCAGTATCCCTTGGTCACTGATCAAGACTTTTACTATGAATGGATACAGACACAATTTGCTGCAATTTCACTTCATATGAAGTTTATATACAGAAAGCAAAATTTACAAAAGATCAGTACTATGCCAACTTCAGCATCTTTTCATGTAAAAGCAGTAATTTCTATTAAAAAAACCAGTCTTGAAGGCATGCTATTCTTGCTCAAAAAGTACCAAGAACTTAGGAAAGTCCCGTGGTTTTTTTTGCACTCATCTGCTTCTGTATGCAAAGTAACCTTTAACCAATCTGCAGAGATTTTTAAGTCAGTGTCATTATCCTCTTGCAAGATACCCTTTTCAGGCTTATATTTTCTGACATGCACCTACCTACCAGTTATACACAGCACTATGTAAGCGTACACTTCCCGCCCCTCCTCCTCAAATCAATTGCTCTTGGTGACACATTTATCAGCTCTGGAATGAAAGGCATGTGATCAGTGCAGTAAGATTGCATGGCAGCCACTCACAGTATTTGCAGGCCACTGTCATTCTTTTCCTCAGTACCAACAAACATATGATGAAGTATTAAACAGTGAATGAACACAAGTGATCAAAATTATACAAAAATGCAAATAAACCAGGTTGGTATTACAAGCTGTTTTATACTGGTATCTGTAGTAATGACAAATATTTTGATTTTTTTCCTGCTAGGCTTCAGGGGGGTTGGACTAGATGACCCACAGAGGTCCCTTCCAACCCCTACCATTCTGTGATTCTGTGAAAATAGGATTTAGTTAGACCATGCTACCAGATATTCTCAGTTACTGTAGTTTTCTAATCCAAAATACAGAAAACCCGTAAGATAATATAAAGTCAGCTTTTATCCAACAGCACATACTGGCTGACAAGCAGAGAGGTACAACACCCATGTACTGTTTTTTTTAAGTCCAGATTATCTGGAAACAAATCCATTAAAAAAAACAAAAAAAGAAAAACCAAACAAACCACACAAACCACCAAACAAACAGAAACCTACCCCCCAAACCTACACACACCACATAGCATAAAACTGTAGCTAGGAAACTACACTGAAGGCGAACTCCACATTGAGCCAGCTCTCTAGAATAAATGTGTGGAAATGTCCTGTATGATTCTGATGTCATCATACAGGTCTGCTGAATCCAGATGATTGTATGCAAACACCTCAGGCCTCCAAGATCTCCTGTATTGAACCTAAGCTGATTTTACAGAACACATACCCTCCAGGATCCAAACAACTAGCCACTTATGACCAACGTAAGACCTAAATTGACTAGCTGGGTAAACACCGAAACATGATCCACTGTACAATCCCCAGTGCTATAACCCACAATACTCTCCATATTACAAAGATTATCCCAGGGCCTTCACTGCAAAGTTAAATATTTGTGTGTGGAGAAAGACCCCAAAGACAGTAACAAATACAAACCCCCACTAAGATCAGCTGAAGCTACGTTGGCTGGGTGTTCAAACTAAGCTGTTCACTTGCTGTCTCCAGGGTTGCTCCATACAGCAAGCCCAGGCTTTCAAGACACACAATACAGTGAAAGAGCAGAAACCCATCAACACCAATAACTGTCAACAGATCAGGGAGGACAACTAATATGAACTGTTTAACATGCAGAAAATCTGCAGAAAATGAACAACTATAGTTTTGTGTGCGGCTCAAATTGTTTAGTACATTTTAGACACATCACAACAAAGCTAGCAAGTGCTACTCACAAGCACTAGGACCTTGCTGTGCCAGCCTCTACAAGAACTTAGATCCTTAACTGACACAAACTTCTATAGTTATGACCCTCCTATTACCAGGTAAAGCCCATGCTTAGCGTCACTGTGCTGAAGCAACAAATGTTTTCACATGCGTACAAATCGCTTATCAGTCTGCTCTTCTAGCAGTGTTCACAATCACTCACTGTCCTGAGGGAGGGCAGCTCCACACTACAGACTACTGGCACTGACATGTGACAGTTTCTCTGCCTCTACTCCAAGAATGCACAATCTGCATATGAGCCAGACCAGCGAGCACATCATTGTTCCACACTACTGCCAAGGCTGCAGCTGTCAAGCAGAAGAGACTGAAATCCATTCAGGTCAGGCCACTGGCAGAGCAGCTTTTCCCTGTTCGCATCTCTCTACACATCCAAAGTCATCCAGGTTTTTCTAAATTAGTCACCAGCTTGCAAATAAAAGTTGCAGCTGTTGTTGAGAACAGACCCTCAACAGCATTACTGAAATTAAGGGCACGATACTCACCGTGAAAGAAGTTTCAATGCATTATTGCACCACAAGCATGACTAGGTAGCTATTAGCATTATTTCTATGCAGGCCACATTTATTTATTCCTCATGCATCCAAAGGGTGAGCAGATTCACAGGATTCAGTGTTTACATAAAGCTAATTTACATGCTTTTAAGAGGCGACACAAATAGAACACTTTCTGCTTATTTAAAGCTTGTGCCCAGTTTGCTATTTCATACCTATTTCAATTTATTACACTTCAAAGCTATAAGGTTCTCTCACACCCCAGAGGGCTGGCATCCACTGGAACTGCACACAGATCCAACACACGTCTCAATAGTTAACTCTTCCTGTTCCGTCTGCGTTTCAGTGTAAGAGAACTAACATTTGGTTTTGTTACCAAGATATACTGAGCTAATAGTCTGTTGGTCAAATGATCTTTCAGAAGCTCTAAATAACAAAAAAAGACAGGTTATAAACACTGCTTATACCATTGTATACACTTGGTCTGAAGAAAAGAATTACAAATTAGCCTCTAATTTGCATAGAATTAAATACAAATTACAGCCAGAGAAATATGTGGGAAAGTTACTAGCGAACTTGTTAGGGGCACACACCTGTACTTTCACCCTCAAAGCAGCGGGTACTACCTACCGCCAAGGCCCAGAACATTAGGACAGAGATACCATTCAAAGTGCTGAGTCAGCTACAGCAAGCCACAATATGAAACTATTGAAACAACCGTGGTTTAACTATTTGTCAGTACTATTAAACTTGCACAAAGAAAACACCACAACATCTCTGCAAATACATTTCTGCTGACTTTAACAAAACTAGTTTTTAGCACCACTGTAATGTTTAGTAAGACCCATGCGGTATTTGGAGGTAAGTGCACTTACAACATGTAGCTCATTTCATCTTGTATGACTGTGGGCACCATATAGTCGATCTAAAAAAAAAAAAAACCAACCAAACAAGGAAAACACAAATGAGTAGATTTATATATGAAGATGAACACATATTCCAATTTGAAAGCCTATCCTAGTTACCTGTTTCATATCCAGAGGACTAATGTTGGTGATGTTGTTTAGCCGTGCCTTGCCAATAACTGTTTTTGAAAACTGAACCTGGGCTGTGATATTTGCCACTTCAACAGAATAATAGTTGTTGTTCGTTATATTTAGTGTGTTCTGAAAAAAAAACAAACACAAAACACTAACAGCTATGCATTCAGTGTATCTTGATGAGCACACATTTTGAAATTTGTGCCCGAGACAGTAATATTTGAAATTATGCACATATATTTTCCTGCCTTCTAGGATTGGGGGGGAGAGGGGCAACAGACCATCATTTAACTCTTTTCTCATTTTTTTTTTGTGAATATATTGAGCAGCACAAATTTCTGCACAACTTCGCTGGCAACCAGCCTCCACTGCAAATACTGCATTTCTTCCTGTCCTCAGTTATTCCTTCCAGGAAATTCAGCTATCACAGGACCCTCTTCTCCCATGGCTGCTTTGCTTTATTTAAAATGAGGAACTCTAACGAAAGTCTTTAGACAATCCTGCATTGACTGCACTTCCAAGAAGGCAAGAAGCACGTGGAAAGAACTTCTTTAAGATGGAAGGTGTGTAAGAAATAATTTTTCCTCAAAAACGATTTTGACAGACACATAGTACCAGGGCAGCATTTAATAACGTTCCTAAGTACACATACACCATTTCACTCACATTCCAAAAATAATGCAGAGAACTCCAAGGTCACTGTTCCCAAGAAAACAGAAGATCCAACAGTAGCCTGCAACTACACCTCTATTAACTATAGCTACAGGACCCAGCCACAGCAGGTCCAGCTACATTTTTAAAACTGGTCATTATATCTGCTTGTATTTCTTATGGCACTAACTAAGCTTACCAGCTAGACCACAATTTCTATGTATGTTAAACTGTCACAGTAGTATCTCTTGTTGCATTTATCCATTGCAAACTTCCAAACAGATAGCTAGACTTACCGTAATATTTAGATATATTATACGTCTACCCTGTTCGTAGGTGACATACACTGACTTCACACCAATGTATTCAACATCAATTGAACGAGGAAACAAGAAGAATACAGCCAACCCAGAAAGCAGTAAACATACAACTACAGAAGCAGTCACGTAGAGCTTTCTCAAAAAAAAAAAAAAAAAAAAGAGCACTTCAGAGTCCAAAGCATGATAAACAACAGTGGCATGTTATTTTCTTTAGTGTGACAAGGAGCATGGCTAGTCAGTACAACTATTTCAGTCGATTTCTAGCTTCCATTAACTTCCCAAGGGGGTAGAACAAAAAAAAAAACACTTATGCTGCACTTTGTATCTGTCTCAGAGATGTTACTCTTGCATATACATCAGAAATCAAGTTTCAAAACATGTGGTTATCCCAACATTCGTAATTTGAACACAAAAAAGGAAGAAGTAAATATTTACGTGCTTTGAAATACAAGCATTTCCTCTCAAAATTTATTTATAGCAGAACTTCTGTCATTCTGCATGACTCTTGCACAACACACCCAGAAAGAAGAATAAAGCTCTTGCATGCCTTACATGGGATTCTTTGTCATAAAAGACTTTCAGGGAAAGTGTTAGACTTCTGCTAAGGAACAGGAAATTCACTATTAACCTAATATAAAAGGCGTGTGTGTGTATGATAATAAAAATACACAAATAAAAGCTCTACTGCAGCTCCAATTTTCTCAAAATTAGAACACTTAAGTACTATGTTTCAAATTTGTACTAGTATTACATCAGATATATCATTCAGGATAGTGTTATGTGAAGTTACTGTTTGTTTGTGTTTTGTTTTTTTTTTTTTTTTTTAAAAAAATAACTCATTTCTTTTTACACACAAACACAGAAAAATTAAGGAAAAAAAAAAAAAGCATCAGAAAGAAGCCCTGAGCACTGTAATTAAACCTTTAAGTAGATCCTAGGAGAAAAAAATAAATATGCTCTACCAGAATGATGAATTGGTTGATTTTGCTAGCTGCTCAGATCTTTACAAATGATTTCTAGGTGACTGACTTTGCGGTAGTGGCCCAAAAAAGTTTTCACTTTCCTCAGACTTCAACACTGAAGACATCTCTGCTTAGATCAGTTAAGATACTAGAGATTGACAGATATTTGAATAATTACTGTAGACATTCAGAAAAATATTTACATGAAGTGATCATACAGTCTTACTTAGCTTCGTAAGACATACTGTTCTGGGAGTATGCACACCTGTTAATAAATAACTCTCCAAGAGTTAGAGGTTAAGGCTGATACTACACAAAAGCAGAGTTCTTTCCATACTGAATGCAAGAACACATACCACCAGGGGTCTTTGCTTGATTCTTCGCAACACTAACTCCTTTAAACTGCTCAATTGTAACTAGAAGAGAAAAAATAACTGCAGATTCATGTATCACAACTAAGGGTTCACTTACGTTCTTCTTGGCCTCAGTCTCTGATCACTGTATGGAATTAATGCCACCAGCTGATTTTCCTGCCCTGGAAGCAAAAACAACCTTTCAGAATTGAAACAAACATAGAATAAGTATTGTTGCAGTTACTTCAAACAAAGGGTGCCCGTTAAAACTCAATGGCACCAAAGAACAAACACTAAAGATAAACATTTAAATTCCAGATAACTACCGAAGTAGAATACTACTGTAGCTTATGTCACTTTTTGAAATAGAGCATGGCTTACACAATACAGAGAGGAAAAAACACCAAGCCCACAAAGACCAAAACAGCAACAAAATCTGCCTCTGTGCTGCATACACACATTTTGCACAGGAGGTAGCAAGCCACTGGCACCACTTCCTTGAGAGAACCGGACGTACATCATAGCTTCCAGCTCTCTAGACCAGACCACATAAAGTCATCAAACTAAACATTCAGAAGCTCAAGCTGCAAGAACCGATCCAGAAGGCATTCTGCATGTACTCTTCTGAAAACAGAAGTCAGGTTTATTTAAAAAAACTACATGTATTAATCTGGGTGGCTTTGGCAACAAAAGTTATACATACTAGTGATTTCCAGAATGCAGTGTATGTACAACCATTTCTCGTGGGACTGAGCTGCAGCACCCTGGAAGTCAAAAAAGTATCTACTGGAATTTCTCCAAGCAAGAAGTTACTTCACCAGACAGCATTTTTAAAAGGGTGGTATGTTTACAGTAGAAATAAAGGACAAAAGCACAGACAAGTTGTTGAAAACACAGGGGCTACATCTGCCTGTACAGCTTTTGCTCTTTGCTGTACAAGAAAATGGAACTGAGATTCATCCGTATGAGAACACAGAGGCCTCAAGACCAAGTCAGATTTGCATTTTTTAAGCCAAAGGCAGAATTTGACCAGCATTATCACTTTGCTATTCAGCCACTTCAAACTGATTCCATGCTGAATCTCTAGGGTGAGCAAAGCATGCTAACTGATCAGGTACTAGTACGTAACTTCAGCCTTCTAAAAATCTCTACCAACTTAAAACAGATAGTCATCTCAGCTTCAATAAAGCATCTTCAACCTTTGAACAAAACAACACAGTCCCACCTTCATACTTTATCATACTGAAAGGTTGAAGCTGTCCAAGTAACAAAACACAATTTCATGTGTTTACTATACAGTAGCAATCATACCACGCTACAGTCTCCCCTACTAGTTATGCAGTCATTGCACATTTAATTTTTCCCTTCTCCCCTCAAAAAAACCTCAAACGTGATTTTTTTTTTCCCCTAAAGTACCGAGGAATAATTAAAAAGACATCCCTATTTGTTCTAATAACTCACAGAATTAGCTACAATTCTAGCTTTAATCACATTACATCATTAGAATGTATGGACAACATGCATTTTTTAATAGTTATGGCAAAATGTTTCATAAATTGACTCACATTTAAGCATTACATCCAAGAATCCTAAAGTCAAAGAAATAAGCTTTTGAACACAGGAATCCTGCTATTACTGCATTTTAGCTAGCACTATTTTGAGTGAAACTTGCTATTGATATCATTAAGTATTTCAAGTTAGCAAGCTAATGGAACAAACTTCCTTCCCTTTTGGTTAAAATAACTTTTGGTTGCATAGCTTTTCCACACTTCAAGACTACTGAATTCAGAGGTACTCAGAGAATACACCATAGTATAAAGTTTAACAGCTTTTAACAATCTCTTACGGTATTTGCAACCATTTAAACACCCTGTGCCCCCTACCACTTGTTTGCAGGTGAGAGAGAAGTATTTTTGAACTATACCAGAACCTAATCTGACTGAAGCACATGTACAAGGACAATATGGCACAGACATCAGTCAATTTTCCTGAGCTGCTGGTCAAAATCAGTTCTGAGAGCATTTAGATGCAACAACCTATTCTTGGTAAGAGTTCTGGCAAAAGCAAAGCAGTCCCAAACACGAAGCCTTCTCATCAGTCCCTCCCCTCCTGCCAAAGGGAAGATCTTATAGCTGAAGCCTTGGCACACTGCATCTGCCACTCTCTCCTTTTGCCCAGTTATCCTGCGTTTGCCTTTCAAAAGTCTCTTCCTAAACAGGGATGCAGGTGGCTTACCGTATAGGACGGAAGTGTAATAAAGCAGAATGTTTTATTAAAAGGAAAAGCAAAGGATGAGGCAGCAAGCAAAACAGTTAGGCATGAAGACTAATGCTGTGCAGCCCACTCCTTCCCAGGGCAGCCAGAGATCCTACAGATTTCCAGCTCCGAGCTGGGGTCCTCTGCCTAGCAGAGACATAGAGGACAAAGGGAGAGTAAAGGAAATCCAGGGGCACTGGCAGCAGTGAGGGCAAGAAAATGCACTATAAATGATCAGGGAAAAGGTGTTGTATCACAGGCCTACTTTTCACTCTCTGTACTTGCAGCTATTTTTGCAGTCATATATTGATTCAAATAGTTTAAAATAGGTAGTGAAAAAAAGAAGCAATAAAATAAAGGTTTGAAAATTCAGCTTGCAAGAGCTAGGGTTATGTGTGAACTTAAAGCTGAGAAGCAAGGAACACTGGTGCTGCACAGACAAGAGGAGACCCAACAGGTAACAGCCAAACCTAACTCAATTTATTTCGTTCATCCAGTGTAATCATAACAAAATGTTTAGTGCTAAAAAGGTCAAAAAGATGAAAAAACATGGAGAGCTATTTGTTACAGATTATTCTAGTTACACATCAACATGGTTATGAGGTAAAATTATAGGTTAAAAAAAAGAAAGCAAGAAAACTTACCTCGTGGAATTCTTCCTGTTCCCTGGCAAGTCGGGCAGGTGACGCTGTCTCTTCCCGTGAATTCCACGTAGGGAAACTGCGATACATCTCCACATCTGCCATCTTCGTTGTGCGATTCCGAGTGAACTAACCCGTTCCTCATATTATCAGACACTGTGCCTCCATCACAGCCATCTTCCTTGCATGTGTGCATAGGCAGGTGAGAAAGTGATTTTCCCATGTCTAAAATGAAAGTCAGCAGAAAATTTTCAGGGGGAATGATTCAAACATGGCTTGCATTTATTTCTCCACATCAGGTAATTGTTAGTCTATGGCCATTACTCCAGCAAGACTCCCGCTGCCCTCTTCAGATCTGCAAAGCGCTAAGGCCCTGCCAAGGAGTGGAGTCAATCCCAGGCTGTAAGAACCTGAACTAAGGAGGAGCTTTGTTCAGATCCTCCAACATGCACAGGTTGAAGGGGGATCAACGAGAGGCTTTTGAGTTAGAACAGTACAACTGCTGGCAAAAAGGTTGCAACAGCCTAGCAGTGCTTTTCAAAGGGCTGTTACTGTACAGACTTTCACACAACACCATGTTTGCACCAAAAAAAAAAAAAATATCAAACTGGGCTCTAGAAAGCAAGTTTGCAATTTTCAGTGGATTCTACACAAACTACAGATCCAATTTTAATAAGCTTTTTAGCTTGGACTTGTTTAGAGAACATGGGATCAGCTACTAGTTTCCAAGCTAGAAATGTAGATCTCCACATGTTTAAACTGATGATTCCCTTTAACCCAAGACGACAGATTCACAGGAAAGTCAAGGAAAAAATGGGACTTAATTTAACACAGCTGCTGGCAATACATAGCATTTATAAAGACTTGTTAAAAAGAAAAGTATTAATCACAAAAGCATTTTTGCTACCTATGCAAATTTTAAAGTTTTCTTATTACTGCAGCTTTTCAGCCATGACACTGGAACTACCTGGAAACACAGAACACTTGAAACTAAAGGCTGTAATGAAGTGATGCAAGTGGAAACCTTCTCAATTTGCAAGAGGTGGAAAACAAACTCAAAGTTAAAAAAAATGACTCTGTACAGCAGTGGCAATCAGTTGTCCAGCTTACCCCCATAACCCATTTTAATTACTGAACACACAGAGACAGCAGCCACTCAACCCACCGGTGTCTTGGGGAACAGGATGATTTTAAAAGAGTATGCAAAACTTCTGTTTTGTCAGTTTAAGTAGCATTTTAAAGCAGCTGCTCATAACTATCATGCTGGCTCACTGAGAAAGAAAGCCCTAAAACAACGATTCAGGCAGCAAAACAAGTCAGAGTATTTTAAACCAACCACTCAAAACAGAACAGAAAGATCTCAAATACTGTGATGGTAACACGAGCACAACGTTAATTCACCATATTGCCACAAAGGCTAGGTGAATGTAGGAGGGGAAAAGTAATTCAACAAATGCCAAAAATTCCCAGCTAGTGCTCGAGCAAATATGCAGCATTATTTTATCACATAGGTAATTAAACCCTTACACAAATATTTATTCTTATGCTGCTACAGCACTTTTTAAACATTCTAAGTTCGGGAGCCATTCAATAATGCAAATTCTTGAACTGAAAATTAAAACTATTGAGCTATTGAAAAAAGTTTTCTGAAAAAGCTGTTGACAATGTTGACAATTATTCCACATGGGGTTTTTGCTTACTGTTCTCCTTGTAGCTGACCTACAGCCTTTAAGCTATGAAACTTGAGTCTTGCAGCTTAGGCAACAGTTGTCACAGTTATAGGTCTGAAAGCTTAGGGATCAACCCATGGTGCTGTTGCACTAGACCCGTATTCAACTTACCTGCTCTGCTGATGGGAGGCTCAGGCTATGTCTACATTAACAACTAAACAGTGCAACAAGCAGCAACTCCACAGAAACAGTTATTAAGAATCCAAAATCCACACTACACATGTTTTGTGTGTTTATTTCATATTAGCTCTTGTCTAGACTAAGAACTGAAGTGTGCCTTCTAGTTTTAGCTTCTTCCAGAAGGAAGAGTGTTCACGCACTCCCAGACCACACTGTGATGTGTAACAAAGTGCAGCAAGCAACGATAACCGGGAACTCATTTCAACAGCATACGCTTTATTTGAATTAAGATACTAAAGCAGATATACCCTCCAACGCCAACTGTACCTGAGCTTCAATAATTAGAATAGTGTTGCTCTACTGCCAGAGACCTAGGAGAAACATGCCTCAGTTCATAAATGAGAAAACAAACAACCACCTTCAAGTGAAATGTGTTCCTCCAACATGCTTTCCCCCCTGCAACCAAGCACTAAACCTTCTTACTGCTAACCAGAACTCAAGAACACTCCGTTCTTTCAGCCAGCACTTACATGCTGAACAGTAGTTCTAAGAATATATCATCTTTATGCGAGACAGCCTCTATACTGTCACCAAAGTCACTAAACCTACTTCCTTAACAGCTGCGCTTTGACCCAGTCTGTCTCGTAACTGATGCATACGCTCCAGTCTTCTAGGACTTGTCTCGAGTTTCCTTGAATTTGCACTCTGTTAGGAGGAGTTTTGTAAATTAAAAAACATTGTGAGAAGCGTCTTTCGATGAAGCCCGCGCCCTCCAGCTTGCAGTGGCGCTGCGGCACGACCGAACACAGACAGAACCCAAACGCTGTCCGAGGCACACAGAAACACAGCAACCCCAGTCACCTGCCAGGCTCAGGGGAAAAATCTCGTTGTTTCTAAACTCAGTGAAACTTTGTAGGCTGTTACACTTCTCCAAAGAGTTACGGTGGCATCATTATGCCTCATATGCAAATCTGTAAACCTGAGGTTACAAACCCACTCCTTTCTCAAACCGGCACAAGGTTTTGAATCGCAACCGTCTTCTGCCCTATCACCCGTGCCTTCCTCAGGAAC